GTTTAGATCCCACTTATGAGTGAGAACATGTGGTATTTCTCTTTCTGTGCCTGGCTTATTTCACTTAATGTAATTTTCTCTAAGTTCATCCATGTTGCTGTGAATGGCAGAATTTCATTTTTTTTTTAATGGCACAGTATTCCATTGTGTATATATACCACATTTTCCTTATTTATTCATCCATCAATAAGCATTTAGGTTGGTTCCAATTCTTGGCTATTGTAAATAGAGCTGTGATAAACCCCGGAGTGTAGGTATCCCTTCAACATGGTTTCCATTACTTTCGGTATATACCCAGCAGTGGGATTACTGGATCATATGGCAGTTCTATCATTAGTTGTTTGAGGAACCTCCGTTCTGTTTTCCATAATGGCTGCACTAATTTACAGTCCAACAGTGTAGGAGGGTTCCCCTTTCTCTGCAACCTCACCAGCATTTGTTATTCTCTGTCATTTTGATAATAGCCAGTCTAAACTGGAGTGAGATATCTCGATGTGGTTTTGATTTGCATTTCCCTGATGCTTAGTGATGTTGACAATTTTTTAATGTGTCTGTTGGCCATTTGTATACCTTACTTTGAGAAATGCCTATTCAGCTCCTTTGCCCAGTTTTTAATTGGATTACTTGTTTTTTTACTGTTGTTTGAGTTCCTTGTATATCCTGGATATTAATCCCTTGTTGGATGCATAGTTGTCAAATATTTTCTCACATTCTATAGTTTGTCTTTTTGGTCTGTTAATTATTTCTGTTGCTGGGCAGAAGGTTTTTAGTTTGATATAATCCCACTTATTTTCTCTTTTGTTGCCTGTGCTTTTGGGGTCTTATTCACATTCATTCTTATTGCCCAGTCCTACTTCCTGAAGTGTTTCCCCTATGTTTTCATTTAGGAGTTTTATAGTTTCAGGTCTTATATCTGAGTCTTTAATCCACTTTGAGTTGATTTGGGTATATGGCAAGAGGTTTGGGTTTCGTTTCCTTCTTCTGCATATGGATGTCTAGTTTTCCCAGAACCACTTACTGAAGAGGCAGTCTTTTCCTCAATCTATGTTCTTGTTGCCTGTGTTGATCAGTTGGCTGTAAGCATGTAGGTTGATTGCTGGATTCTCTATTCTGTTCCAGTGGTCTGAGTGTCTGTTTTTATGCCAGTATCATGCTATTTTGGTTACTATACCTTTGTAGTATAATTTGAAGTCAGGTAGTGTCATGCCTCTGGCTTTATTTTTTTTGCTCAGGGTTGCTTTGGCTATTGAGGGTCTTTTGTTGCTCCGTATAAATGTTAGGGTTTTTTTTTTTTTTTTTTCTGTGAAGAATGTCATTGGTATTTTGATGAGGACTGCATTAATCTGTAGATTGCTTTGGGTAGTATGGACATTTTCACAATGTTAATTCTTCCAATCCAAGAGCATGGAATGTCTTTCCATCTTTTTGTGTCCCCTTTAATTTCTTTCAGCAGTGATTTGTAGTTCTCGTTGCAGAGATCTTTCACTTCCTGGGTTAAATTTATTCCTATGTATTTTATTTTTTTGGTGACTTATTTTATTTTATTTATTTTTTTACAGTGAGTCCCAGTACCCCTTTATTTTATTTATTTTTTTTTTTGTGCTTTCCATTTTCTTTTTTTTTTTTATTTTGTCAATATACATTTGGTGACTATTTTAAATGGGCTTCATTGCAATTTTTTTTTTTTTGAAATTTGAAATACTTTCCAAATAAGAGGTACAAAAACAAACAATGAACCCATTCTTTTATTCCATTCTCTCTTAAATCCACTCTAGTCAGACTCTCAAAACTCCACTGAAGTGTATTTGTCAAGGTTACCAGTTACATCCAATTTGCCAACTCCAATTATCACTTCTTAGTCTTTCTATTACTTGACCCATCGGCTACAGTATTTAACACAATTTATCACTCCTTTCTTCTTGAAGTGTGTGCACCTCTAGGCTTCTGGACACCACTCTTTTATGGTTCTTCTCTTACCTTCCTAGGTGCTCTTTCTCAGTCTCCTTGACAGTTCCCCTGGATGTCTCCCTCTTCTAAACATTGGAGTGCCTCATGGCTCAGGCCTCAACCCACCTATGAGTTTGTGTGGGCTGTCAGGCTCATTTCCCAAACTCAGTCTAGTGTCTGTATTCACTCACCTTAGTTGGAGCACATAATATTCTTCTAGTGATGTAAGATCCTCCTCCCTTTGAAGTCTTACCAAAGTTCAACCCCCTATTACCACTATCCTGGTTCGGGGCAGTTGGTGGCTGTACACAGTTGGAAAAGTCCCTTACGCTATCTTGAGCACGCATGCTGGAACAGGAATATGAGGGTAGAAACCCTCTCTAATATCATGAAGAGGTCTGAAGTGTAACCCTCCCTCCAAAAATTAGAAAACTAGGTCCTATTAAGGGAAAGATGCTTGTTGAATAACATTCACCGGATTATTGGCCATGTCTGAGCTAAAGCCTAGGTGTCTATGCTCTCTCTTTGTGATTTAACATGTTTGTGTCAAGGGCCTCCTTAGGAATCTGATGAAAGCTACAGGCTTTTTCCTAGCAGGAAAAAAAAGTACCTAGCACACGCCAAAAATTAAATGAATTAAATTAAATTTATTTAATTTCAGGACCTTCATGGGCCCTTCAATTACATCTAGACCTCAGGTTACAAAATCTTGCTCTATCAGAAAAATCCAAAACATGGAAAAGTTTACAGGACAACTTATTCAGTGCCCTCAACAAATCAAACCAATTTTGCGAAAAAACTGGAGATAAATTCAAGATGAAAAGTCTTAGGAAGTATAACAAAAAAATGCCTTGTTTGAATTCTAATTCAAGCAAACTATGTTTGGGGGGACAACCAGAGAAATATCCATAGGCTGAGTATTGGTAATATTAAGGAATTATTATTAATTTTGTTAGATGTAAAAATCATTATGTAAGAAAATGTTACTTTTTTAGAGATGAGTATCAAAGTATTTAGGGTTGAAATATCATGACTTCTGGGATTTATTTTAAAATATTTCAACAAAGGGCCGGCCCATGGCTCACTCGGGAGAGTGCGGTGCTGATAACACCAAGGCCCCGGGTTCGGATCCCACATAGGGATGGCCGGTTCGCTCACTGGCTGAGCGTGGTGCTGACAACACCAAGTCAAGGGTTAAGATCCCCTTACCGGTCATCTTTTAAAAAAAAAAAATAATAAAATATTTCAACAAAGAAAAATAGGTGAAGCAATCTTGGAAAAATGTTAACAATTAAATATAAAATAAATAGGGATCTGGGGATTCAATATAATACTCTTCTACTTTTGTGACTGAAATTTTTCATAATAAAGAAAAAATACAAACAACTGCTCTCTGCTATTCTGGCAAAGACAAGAGTATATCTAGGTTGTTATACCCAATACCCAGGTTCTGAGTTTCCCTGAAGAGTTATCCATAGACTTGCTGACTCTGGGACCACAACAATTAGACAATCCACTGGGGTTTGTTTGTTTTTATGAAAGGACCCAGTGATATCCTTACTCTAGACTGGCTCTTATAATGGAAGGAAAAGAATGCTATAAAGGACATTATTAAGTCAACTGACAAAAGCTGAATATAGATGATAGATACATAAATGAATCAGATAGGTATTGCTAGTCCCTTTCTAGGTCTTTCTAGGAATTTATCCACTTCATCCATGTTGTCAAATGTATGGGAATAGCGTTGTTCATAAGTCATCTCTTATCTTTTTAAATGTCTGTAGGATCTATAGTGATGCCCCTCTTTCATGCCTAATATTTATAATTTGTGCACTATCTCCTTTTTGACCCAGACAAGTAAACAGAGACTGAAAAGCAGAAATGAGTCAGGTTAAGGCTGCAGAGCCAGCTGGGCTATCCTTACGTCTGCTGCTTTGCCTGGCTGTCAGGTGGCTCATCCTTTGTGAGGTTTCCTGCTCCTAGCCTGCCATTCTCACTTAACATGCTCCATGTGGCCTGGCATAGTCTGACATGGAAGAACCTAGCTTCAGAGCCAGGGCTTTCATCACCCTTGTCCTCTGAGGTGAATCCAACTTCTTAGAATGTTCTCTTGCCTTCATCCCCTGCTTCCCCCCTCCCTGCAAAGAAAACACAGGTGAAGGGGGTAGAATAACAAAGGAGAGGTTGGGATGGGGAGCGGAAAATGGTGAAGATGAGCTGAACTACTTTCTAGAAGTAGTTGGAAGGTTCAGCTTATCTGGAAAGAGGCAGTTCTAAAGTCTCCATGGTAAGGAGAGGAGATCAGAGAAAGGACAGGATTACTGGTAGTGACAACTTCCTCCACTTTACAACCCCTTTTCCTTTAACTGTCTCCTAGAGGGAAGGATCATAAGTCCCAAGACAACTGGGGAGCCTAACTGAGCTTATACCTAGTCTTCTGTGTTCTCATTCTATCTCCCTCCTCAAACTCCATGTCTAGGTGGTGGTGAAGGAAGTGAAAGACAAAGGCTTCCCTCCTTTTCTTTCTGCTTTAACTTCAGATGGTGCCATCTAGTGATGAAGTCTTCAGGTGGTACTGACTAGGACTTATTGAAGCTTTTTAATTTTCTCTGAGGGTCTCCTCAACACCCACCACACCTGCTGTTTGGGACTCAAGTCATCAGCATGCAGAGCTGCTATGATCAGGGAAACAGAGTCAGCCCACTGTATGCCCCCAAATACTAAGAGAAAAAACATACTGAGTCTTCTGATTCTAAAACCCATTTTCTTTCCACTATATCAATACCTCTTATATCAATGGCAAATATATATTAGTTTTTGTTCAAGGTGTTTTCCTTCCTGTAGTTTTTGAGGGAGGATGGTGTGAGGCAAGGAAAGAAGAGGACAAGGACAGACTCTTCTGTCTCAAGGCCTTCACAGTGTAAGCCCCACTGGCTTTGGGGAAGTTTTCCCACTCTTGGGAGTATGTGAGTATTTGGTTTCCCTGGTTACCTTCCGGGAGAACCAAAGTTTGGGGGAAAAGGACACATCAAAGTACTTGTTGCAAATAAGAACCTCCTCTTTATTCCACATATAGAAACTGGTTTCCAGAGCTAAGTAGAGAAGGGGCTTTGACCTGGCCCTACCTCTGTGTGGGCCCTAGAGATAAAGGTCTAGATTTTGGTGACCAGACCTTTCTCCAGTTAGGGATGAAAAGTCCTGACCTCCATTCAGTCCCAAATTAGGGAGTGGGAGCAACAATGTGGGGCAATTCCTTGGTGAGGTGAATATCAGCTTGGGGCAGGCTCTTCCAGGCAAGTTCTAAGATCCCATACTGGGCGACGCCCATGGGAAGTATGGTGCGCACGTTGTTCTGCCCAGGAAGAGGTACCACATCCTGGAACTCCAGAGGGCTTCTAGGGGTATGGGAGCCACCACAATACAGGCAGTAGAACAACCGCTCCCCAGGAACTAGCTCCGTGGCCTTTAAGGCCTCTTTGTAGATGATCTCTTGGGGTTGAGGTTCTACTCTCAGTAGCAGCTCCTGTAGCAACCTCTGGATTCGGGGGGACTTAAGTTGGTACAGGTCCATGAGCTGGTAGAACTGTTCCATCCAAGCAGCGCTGTCTTTAGCATATCGCTGCTTCAGCATCCGCAAAACATGGTACAGTGCCACAAATGTCTCCCATAGAGGCACCTGTTGCTTTTTAGAGATGGGCTGTACCTTCTTCTCCAACTTGGGCAATTTGGGAAGCCTGCCCTTATCCTTAAAATCCCAGAAGTCCTTTTGAAACATCAGTGCCAGGGTTTGTTTTTCCACAGAGGTATGGGCACCTGGAAAAATGTCTCTTGTGGCAGGATAAATGTGTTGCATCTCCATCTCTCTGAGAGCAATGGATATTTGCTGTGCCCACCCACTTCTGTAAGGCTCTCCTAGAAAATGCCAATTTATAGCTTTTGGGTCTGGAATCTTCTTGGTAGCTAATGGTGACTTTAGTGTGGGGACAGACAAAGGTTTTAGCCAATGCCCCTTTTCTTTTCCTTTAATGGGAGGAATCACTTCCAGGTGTTTGGGACTCATGGACTCCTTACTGAGTTTTGAGATCCTTGTACTTTGTGATTCTACGGCCTGTTTGTGATGGCGCACAATGGCTTCAAGTTTGGCCATATGAAGCCATTGTAAGTTTCCCTCTGAGGTGAGGTCTTTGAGGAGCTGACACAATCTGTGGAAACTATCCCTGGAAAGCTGTTCTCCTGCTTCCATCTGTTCTAGAACATGATGGATCCACTCTACATCTGAATAGCTTACCTTTGGATAGTGTTCCTCAGCCAGGATTTTGGAGGTAGGTAATTGTACCTCAGTCTGTCCCCTCAGAGGCAGATGATGTCTCAAAAACCACTTATCCCTGGCACCTGGTAGTTTGTACTGGAGTTTCTGATCTTCCCTGGTCTTCTTAAACATGTGGGACATGATTGGAGTCTTTATGTCCTGCTCCTGGGATTCCAAAACTGTTTCCAAAACATGTAGAGGTATGGATCTATATTTCCCAAACAGTTCTCTTTGTTTATCCATAAACCTTGTCCCTGAGGATTCCCCGGACATCTTGAGTACTGTGGCCCTGTTATCTTCCCAGGATACTTGTTTCACTGGCTCTTGCCCTAGTATCTTCTCTTCTATCTCCAGAGGTACTGAGATCGGTTTCTTGAGAGGGCTCTTCAGAACTCCTGGTTGTACAGCACTGCCTTTGCTCTCAAGGACTCTTTTTCCAACGGTGGGGACTGTTTCTCTTTCTCTTAGGTCTTTTCCTCTTTCTTTGTGTAACTTAAACAGTTTTTCTCTTTTTAAGACCTCTTTTTTGTCTACTTCTTCCAATGAGCTTTTCTCCTCTTCCTTCTCACTCAAACTCTTCATCTCTTCCTCACTCATGCTTTCCACCATCGCCTCCAACACTTCCTCCTCCTCCTGAACCACCTTCTTTTTCTTCCTCTCCTCCTCATCCTTTTCTTCTTGCCCCTTTTGCTCCTCCTCCTCCTTCGCTTCCTCCTCCTCTTCCTCCTCCTCTGACACACTCTCTCCTTCTATTTCATCTAACAGTTTTTCTATTTCTTCAGAAAAGCTCCCTTCACTTTCCACCTCATCCACTTGACTAGAAACCTTTTCCGGTGGTGTATCAACTCTCTTTGACTCTTTTCTTGTTTTCCACCTCTGTTTAAGGGATGGGATTTCCTCTTCCTCTATTTCTGCTTCCTCCTCTTCATCCTCTGTGACTTTGAATTCTCCCTCTTCCCTGGCCAGCCTGCTTACTTCCTCAGTCATTTTTTTCTCTTTATTTGTCATTCTTCTCATTTCCTTGGCTAGTTTTCTCTGCTTCTGAGCCAGTTTCTTCTCATCTTTTGTCAGTTCTGATGGTTCCTCAGAAAAATCCCACTCTTTGCTATCAAGCCTATTCTGTTCCTTGCTCAATCTGCTCTCCATAACAAGGAATGACCTCTTTATCTTTGTCATCTTTATTTCTTCCTGGGTTAGTTTCCTTTCGTCACTGATTAGTTTTTGTAGTACCTTTAAGACTTTGCTCGCTTTTGCTGGTTCCTTAGGAATGCCCTTCTTTTTCTCAGCCAACTTTCTTATTGCTCTGGCTAACTTCCTTTCTTCCTGAGCATATACTCTCTGTCCTCTAGTAAGTTCCAGTTTTCCTTTGGCAATGTCCATTTCCTCTGTGGCCAATATCCTGTCTTCATACATCAGTATCATCTCCTGTTCTGTCAATTTCTTCTGAGTTAGTTGTATTTCATCCTCAGTCAATCTTCTCTGGCTTGAGGTTTCTTGAGTCTCTCCCTTGGAGAGAGCTTCCTTTCTTTCAGCCAATCTCATCTTCTCTTGGGCCAGTTTCTCCATTTCCATGTTCAACTCTTCTTCTTCCTTAGTAATATCCAACTCTTCTCTGAGCAGTTTCCTTTCTTGCAACATTGCTTTCTTCTCCATAGTTAATTTCATTTTTTCCTGGGCCAATTTCTCCTGTTCCTTAACCAGACTTTCCTCTATATGGGCCAGTTTTTTCTTTTCATCAGCCAGTTTCTTCTTCTTCTGGGTCACTATCTCCTTTTCCTGTTTCAACTTCTCCTCTATCTGAACCAGTTTCTTCTCGTACCTCTCCATTTTCTTCTTTCCTTGGCCTAATTGCTCTTTGTTCTGGGTGAGTTTTCCTTTGACATAGAGGAGGGTCTCTTTCCTTTGAGCCAATTTTTCCTTATCCTTAGCCATATTCCTCTTTTCCTGAGCCAGATTCTCCTCCTTCTGGGCCAGTATCTTCTTTTTCTGTGTGAGTTCTTCCTTGCTCTGGACCAATTTTTGCCTTTCCTGGGCCAGTTTCTCCTTCTTCTCCATCAATTGCTTCTTTTTCTGGGCCAGTCTTTCCTTTTCTTCAGACATTTTTTCCTTGTCCTGGGCCAGTTTCTCCTCTTCCTGGATCAGCAGCTCTTCTTCCTGGACCAGTTTTTTCTCTTCCTCAGCCAGTTTCTCCTCTTGCCAGACCAGTGTCTTCTCTTCCTCAGCCAGTTCCTCCTTTTCCGCAACCAGTTTCACCTCCTCCTGATTCAGTTCATCTTCTTTCCAAACCAGGACTTCCATGTCCCATGCCAGCGCCTCCAATTCCTGGGCCAGCTCCTTTTCTTGCCATGCTATGTGTTTCTCTTCCTGGGCCAGTTTTTCCACTTTCTGGACCAATATATTTTTTACCTCAGCCAGCTTCCCTCCTTTATTTGCTAGTTTCTCTTCTTCTCGAGCCACTTCCTCCAATTGCTTGGCCAGTTTCTTCCTTTCCTGAGCCAATTTCTCTGCTCTCTGGCTTAGCTCCTCCCTTCTTTGGGCCAGTTTTTCCTCTTTCTTGGCAAACTTTCTGTCTGCCTGGGCCATTTTTCCATCTCCCAAGGACATTCTCACATATTCTCGGATCAGTTGTCTCTCTTCCTGGGCCAGTTCTCTCTCTTCTTGTGCAAGTTTCTTTTCTTCTTGTGCCAGTTTCTTCTCTTCTTTGGCTTGTTTTCTTTCACCTTGGGCTTGTTTCTTCTGTACCCTGGCCCATTTCTGTTCTTCCTGGATCTGTCTCTGTTCTTCTGTGACTAGCTCTTCTTCTTCTTCTTCCCACTCCTGAAACACTTCTTTCTCCGGAGTCAATTCTTCCTCATCCTTGTACTGTTGTGCCTTGGACCTGGATGACAACATATTTTCCCAGAACGGTTTCCACTCATCCCATTTCAGCTTCTTCTTGTCCCCCTCCAGTGTTTCCTTATCTGAGAATAGCTCCTCTTTGGCCTGGTATAGTTTCTCCTCTTCCTGAAGATGCCTCCTTTCAGAATCTTTCTTCCATTCCTCCCAGGATATCCTGGTCTCACTGTGTACCTGTTTCCACTCGTCCCAGGACTTCTTCCACTCCTGCCAAGACAGCTTCCTCTCAACTGTAACTGGTCTTCCTTCTTCCTCAACCACTTCCTCCTCTAGTTTGGCCATTTCCTCCACTTTCTCACTCATATCCCTCTCTTCATGGGTCATTTCCCACTCTTTTTTATCCACTTTTCTTTTCTGCTGGACTGCTTTCCCCTCTTGCTTAGATGACTTCTTAAAGGATTTCTTCTCTTTCTTTGATATTTGTTTTCCCTTGGTTAGGTCACCTGGTTCTAAAAAAATAACTTTCTTTCTCTTGCCTTTTTTGGGAATCACTTGGGTTTCCTCCAAGTCTTGCATATCCCTTGCTTCCTTCTGCACTTGCTCTTGCCCCTTTGGTATCTCTTCCTTTTCTTTGATCACCACCTCGTCTCTGTACTCGCTAACTGCTTCTTCATGAATAAACATTGGTTTCTCCTCTTGCCAGATCACATCCCAATCAAGGTCCTCGAGCAGAACCTCGCTTTCTTTCTTCAACAGGGGGCAGATCTCCTGAAAGAGTTCCCAGCTGGGGTGCCGATCTGCGAGCACCTCCTGAGCTATAGTCACTAGCTCAATGTTTAGATCTTCCGACATTTTTGTTTGGGAACCAGATATCCTCAGGGTCATAAGACGACATAGATCATTCCGCCATAATGAGCCATCTCCAGGGGTAGTCCTGTGGCCAGGCATTCCGGAGGCACCCCGCTCTCTTGTTATAATCTTTCTCATAACTGGTTCTTCCACTACAGGAGGCACAGATTCCTCACTTATAACTTTGGCTGCTTTTTTCTTCTTCTTGTGCCCCTTTATGGGTTTCTGAGCCATTGTTCTCTTGCCTCTTTTGTCACGTATTTTCTTCAGCATCTTCATGGTTAATGCAGTATGATCCTTTGAGACATCTATCTCTGGAGGTTCAGCATCTTTTGAGACGTTTATTACACTGGCGATTGAAGACCTTATGGAATGGATATCCTCCATCTCAATTGGTACAGTTTCACTCTGATCACTTTCATCTTCTAAGGGACCTGGCTCTATGCTAATCTGTTTAGAGTGTCCCTCTTCCATCTTCTTGAGACCCCGCAACAATTTTCGGGCTGCAGGGAAAATCAGGAGATGGAGGTAAGGGAACCATGGGAGTCTAAATTAAACTCTCCCCAATATCTGGTGTGAGCTAAGAGGAACTGCTATAAAAGAAGTAGCAACAAAGAGGGCTGAGGCCTTTGAAAAAAGAAAAAAAAAAAAAAAGCATTCTCCTTGCTTTACTCCAGTCCCTCTTCCCCCACGCCAAATCCTAGAGAGATGTGCCTTGAAGTCTTCCTGAATTTGGGTGGATCCTTCCTAGTAGAGTTCTTTTCTATGACAAGATATTTCCACTTACCTCACTTCCCATCTAGTATCTCTTGATCCACTTTATCCCTAATTTTCCTGACTCTTGGGGACCCTGAGGCATGGACCAGATCACCCCATACATACCATGCCTTTTGCCTCCTGCTCGTCTCCGTCTTGGGCCTTTGCTGCGCTTGATGGCCACTTCAGATTCTTCAGGAACTGTGGAAAGTTGAATGGGAGGGGACTTAAATAGGGAAGGCCTTGAGACATCTAAAGAAAAAGCAGGCTTTCCATCTGTACGTGACATGGTCAGGTTTTCATTCAATCGCTGCTCCACTTGAGTGTGAAGGATTTGGAGATCTGTGGGCCGCATCCCCAGCAGATGATCCAGGGTTTCCTCCCCAATCATCTCCTGCCTATGAAAGTCAAAGGAGAGAGAAGACTATGCTGAATCAAGAGGGAGAATGAGAAGGAAAGAACTGCTGTGGAACAGGCAGGGAATTTGGCAAAGTAGCCAAGAGGGACAGCATATGTAGAGGTAAACAGTTGCCAAGAAGAAACAAAAAGTCTAGGAGGCAAAGATGACAATGAATGGAGTTATCTGTATAGGGGCCACAAGGGTAAGAGAAAAGGATGAAAAGTGGAACTTGAAAAGGTCAAAGACGACACAAACAGGCAAAGAAATAGAGAAAGGAGTGAGCAGTGGGGACTGTCAAAGATAGTCTAGGAATGTAAAAAGGCTATGAAAAGAGATAAAAGGTCAGGGAGAGCTAATAAACAAGAATAAAGAGATGGCAAAGGAGGAGCAGGAAAAAATGGGGAAAGGGGAAAACTAGAAGCTGGTAAAGAATTAAGGAAGGCACAAACAACTTACTGCATCTCCTGGAAAGTCTCTTGGTTCTGGATCAACTGTAAGAGTGAGGTCCTAGAGTGGACTCCAGTTTCAGCCATGAGGCTCAAGGCCTTACTCCTCACTCTTTGGTCCTTGTCCATTAATGCTTGGGCCAGAGGCAAGGCAAAGAGATGAGTAATCATTCCCAGACGCTTCAGCCCTTCCCAGGCTAGTTCTCGGATGAGTGGGTTCGAATTGATTGTATCATCCAGCAGAAGATGGGCTGTCTCAGAGCGCAGGGATGGAGACACCTGATAAGCAGCAAAGATTTGCCCTAGTGCAGCAATACAGCATTGGAACTTCAATGGAGAAGCATGGATCATAATATTGAGGATTGCTTCAATCATGCTATTAATAGCTATTTCACTCATCTTTTTTCCCAGCCAGCTTCGGTTTGATACATCTGTAAGGACCCTGTAGGTTATGTCCGTGGATATTCTCCTTACTATGAAGTCTTCATCCTCCTTCTCTTTTGAATAATCTGCTACATCACTTACAGCTCTTACCCTGCTGTGCCAGAAGAATTGTTGAGATGTGTCCCATTCCAATTCCCGCCGGGGTGAGTGCAGGTTGCACTGTAGGTATATTGGGCTGCCCTCTGGCCAAAGACGGGCACGAATCACTGAGTTGGGGATGTAGCAATCAGGGGCAAAGAGCCATTCACGCCCATGACCAAAGTAGTATCTCAATATCTGATAGGGGTTGAGTCCATCCCAGCTAGTCAGCTGTAGTTGGGGAGGAAGCACATAATGGGGATGGTGAAGTTGGCTCATCTGTATCCAATCATTTTCCATCCCCTGCACAGAATCACGTATGGAGGTATGCAATAACACAGGGCTCCCTTCCTCATCTTCTTCTATGACATGTGGCACAGAATGGTCAAAGGCAATGGCCCGCTTATTGACAAGGCTCTCCAGACCTACTAATTCTTGTTTCCCTTGTCCAAGGTAGATATACTTGGGCACAAACATAGTCTCAAAGGAGAAAAAGAAGCCTGGTATGAAAGGCTTAGGGACTTCTAGTACTTCATCTGTTAAGCTCATCAAGGAAAGAAGAGCCAGCAGGGTTGGGGGAAGCAATTTTAAACAGGACACCAGATAAAGACTCTGGTTGAAAGTCACAAGCAAGTCTCCGCGGTCATTTGCAAAACAGAGTGGGCCAAAATGCAATGATGAGTCAAGCATGGCTATAAGTCTACCATGGAAGTCCCAGATTCGGACAGAGCCATCACTACCACCTGTGACAAAAAGACTCAAGGACAGGCAGACATCGAAGGATATGATGGCACACTGGTGCAAAGGCAATGTCTCTATGAACTTTGAGCCTTCCTGTGACACAGAGGACAGAAGATCATGGAACTTCCAGAGACGCAGGCAGTTAGTCTCTGTGATGGCCCCCACGGCCATGGGCAAGAGTATCAGGTGGGTCAGGTGACAGCTGCTAAGAATGCTGGCGAGGGGCTGTAATTGTACTCTGATCCCATCAAGCACAGCTTCTGACAGGTGTACATAGTTGTCCATCCCATAGGAACAGAGCAAAGAGTTTTCTCGGCCACCAAAAAACCTTCCAGACAGCGTGGAGAGTGCCAGTACAGCCCCAAAGTGCATGAATTTCTCTATTCGGGCACAGCGGTGCTGGGAAAGCACTCTTATCATACCACTTTGGTGCCCGGAGAATATCAGTCCTTCTAGACCCCGCCCCAAGTGGAAATGCCCGTAAGCCAGGCATTGTACGAAGTCCTGAGAATCTGTGGAGGTACATAAGAGATACTTGGCTGGGCAGGGGCAGCGGGTTGTGTCAAATACCAGCACCTCGGAGCTCCCTGTTGCCACAAACAGCTCCTCTTTACTTGGGTCATAGGCCCAATCCACAGCCCGGTCCAGGATTGAGAAGGCCCAGGTGAGAATCAGAAGATCTCCTGTTAATGGGGACACAAAGCGCAACAAGCCATCCTCGGTAGTGCACAGGATCCGGTACCAGTTATCTCCACAGCAGACCCGACGCACCTGCTGGGGAGCAGAACCACAGACATGGAAGAGGCTGTAGAAGCAGGGCAGACATCGCAAGGAAAACCTATGAGTAGTTTGGCAGAAAAAAGTAGTGCTATCAATAAAATGGACTTGGTGAAGCTCCTCGCCAAGTTCTAGCCGCCGAAGCAGGTTCCCTGAAGTCAGGTTCCACTCCTTGATGAGGCCTTCGGCACCAGCTGTTAGCAGAGTGTGGACCTCTGGCCGGCTGTGGATACGTACCACTAGTGAGGAGTGGGCCTTGAAACTGTGGAGGGACTGCCCGTGACTGAGGCTCCATACTTGGATTTCCCCAGCCTTGTTTCCAGCATAGAGAAAGCCCTGATCAAAGCAAGTAAAGCAGCAGGTAATAGAGGACCCACTGCTGGTGGAAGTGAACTTCTTCACCTCTCCCAGCTGGCCTTGGCCCTGGCGCTCAAGGACCCTCACCACAGTCTCACACAGGGCTAGGAGGGAGCCTTCGGGGCCATTAAGTATGATGTCCTGGACAAGCTCATCACCAGCCAAGGAAACCATGTGGGCTATTTGGAGGCCCTTTCCACTTTGCTCAATGACCCAGGTGACCACTGCCCCCAGGATGCCAGACAGAAGCATCTTCATTTCCGGGTCATAGCAGAGGCAGCTGATGTTGAAGCGGCAGGGCACTATACCCAGGGGTTTGAATGCCCGAAAGTGGTCCCCAAAGAGCCGTAGGAGCAGGTCACCACAGTAGGCCACAAGGATATGAAAGGAACCTGTGTGGACCATGGACTGGATGGGCGGCAGTCGTTCAGTCATGGAGAATGTTCTCTTCTCAACCATGTTCTCAGTTTTGCTCTTCACCCATACTACAGCCTGGAAGAGAATAAGATGGAAACTGCCTAGAAAAGACAGTAAGAGGAGGAAAGCACAGAGTATTCAACTACTTCCCCCCATTTTTGTACTAAGGAGGAATTAAAAGACTCCAGAGTGATTTTACCTCCTGGAAATGGGAGTTGGAAATATGGTAGAGGTGGGAAGCTTCGGACTCTTTACCTAATGCTGGCCTGCTTTAGGGGAACCATAATGTCTACTCAACAAGGAGACTTTAAGTGGAGAAAGCATGAGGGGGGAATCCTGGATCCAGGTCACATTCCTTTAAGGGGTATATCTTCCTTTGTCAATCTGGGTTGAGAGCTATATGGGCATGGTCCCTGGAGAATGGGCTAAGACAGGGAAGAAAGGCAGTTTTACCTGTATTTCTTTTGTGCTTGTTGTCACCCAAGAGAGGGAGGCAAAGAAGTAGGCATCACTGAAGTAATAGCATATTAGCGGCATATTTTGAGGATGGCGAGATTCTATGAACAGTATCTGGGACCGGTCACTCAGCACAACTAGGTCATTCTTTAGTTCATCTAAAGGTGGCTAGGGAGAAGTGTGGCATAAGCTAAGAGGCCAGGGCACACATGCACTAAATGTATTCTCACAAAATTCACAATTGTAGTAGTTCCCAGAATCTTGTCTCCCACCCCAAGGACTACTCCTGTTATATCCACATGTGCACAACTTATCACCTGTGGGACATCTACACTTCACAAGTATAAAACAAATTCCCCAACACATAGGGAACCAAATCCCTATAGGGTCTATATGGGCAAATTTTATACTTTCAGCCCAGGGGGAAACAATATTCTTCCCAACATGAAGTTAGTCACACCTGTCCTCTAACATTATCCCTTGTGTCTAAAAGGCACATGTATCATAAAAGACACAACATTTAACAGATTACCCAGGCAAGCATATCACTCTATGCCCACAAGTAATATAACAGGTGTCCCAAAAGTCAGGGTAGCTCTAAGTTATGAAAGCTTAAAACTGCACTAAGTAAGACTTGTTAGGACACCCTATCTGGCCATTAAATTTGACAGAGGAACAGCACATATACAATATATATTATTTCACAATGATAGAGCATGTGTTATGAAACATGCATCTGGGATCCTTTTACACAGAGCCAACCATAGCAAAACTGAGGTTGGCAAATCTTCTCTCTAGTGCCTTCTCCCTTCTCTTTTAGAAAATCTCTCTTTCCAAAGGATTGTTTCCTCTGACAATGCTCCAAAGTGTTTACTTTCCACTATCAAAATGTCATTGTAGGAGGTGAATAGATTCATTCAGAAATTGATGGCCTGGGGCCGGCCCGGTGGTGCACTGCTACAGTGCGCCGCTTGGGAGCACGGTGGCGCTCCCACTGAGGGTTTGGATCCCACATACAGACCGGTTCCTGCTCACTGGCTGAGCGAGGTGCGGACGCAACACCGAGGGTTGCGATCCCGTTGCCGGTCCTGGTCCGGTATGGGCGCGACATTGAGGGTTGCAATCCATTGCCAGTTACGAAAAAAGACAAAAAGGAAAAAAGAAAAGAAATTGATGGCCTATTTCGTACTAAGATGACAATTGTCTTTATGGTTTACCCTGCTTGCTTCCTGCTTTCATGGACAATCTATGGCTCTTCTGAAGTGCTCATTAATGTAAAACAATAGAGGCCAACCAATAATATGTTTATGTCCTGCATATACATTACCTTGATATTTTGTATGATGTCATTTATCAAGTATTTAAAATCCTTCCATAGGGGAATAAGTCTGGGAGAGGACATCACCTTGATTATCCCCCAGTCCTCCTCAGGACTGTTGCTTAAAAACCTGTGGGAATCCAAAAGAGGCCAGATTACCTACTGCTGCTTTTTGAGGAGCTGGTAATCAGAAGGCAAGAACTATGAACTCAATAGTATGTTGAACTATGCACAAGACATACCATCTCATTTAATCCTCACTACAGCCCAGTGAGGTAGTGCTATGAGTCAGATGTGTCCCCTAAAGATTCATGTATTGGAAACTTGATCCCTATTGTAGCAATGTAAAGAGGGTGGGAAATCCTATTATGGTGATTGAAAGGTGGGGCCTTTAAGAGGTGACTAGATTGTCAGGACTGTATTCTCACGAATGGATTAATCCATTGATGGTTTAATGGGTGGTCATGGGTGTGGTTATGACGGCTTTATAAGGAGAACAAGTGAGCAGTTTAGCTCTCTCTTGCTCATCTCATTTGCCATGTGATACCCTACATCACTATAGAGTCACCACCCAGAACAAGGCCCTCACCAGATGTACTCCCTGGACTTTGGACTTCCCAGCCTCTGAAACTATAAGAAACAAATTTCATTTCTTTGTAAATTACCCAGTTTCAGGTATTCTGCTATACTCAACATAAATGGACTAAATACAGGTAGGTATTACCCCATTTTATAGATGAGAAAACTGAGGCTTAGAGAGGATAAAGGAATTGGGGATTGAATCTTAGCATTTTCTGCCACAACCCAGTAGGATATTATGGGCGAGGGAAGTAGAGAGACCTAGAGTGGGGCTAGAAAAGAATATCCTCACAGGCAAATAATAGTTCTTTGCTTGCTGTGGTATGTCAGGAGAGCATTTTGTAAGGACTAGGGATACTTAAAGTTTGGTCCATGGACCACCTATACCAGGATTCCTGGGGGAGGATGGTACATCTTAAAATGAAGATTCCTGGGCCCTTGCCCTAGACCTATGAATCAGAGCCATGGAGGTGGGACCCAGGAACCTTCACTTGTAACAAGCTCCCTAGGTGATTCTACTGACATTCGAGTCTGACTGCTGAAATAGGAAACAGAGATAAGGGGCAGCCAGGACTAAAAGTCAGCACCACCTAATACAGCTGGAGAAAGGATCCAGCCTTTTGGCCTTGCAGGCTTCCCCAGGCTTGTGGAATCAGTTCTTACAGGAGATACATCTGCTGTTCGTCCTCCTCTTACCTATCCCCTTCTCTCTGGCCTTCAAGAGGACAAACTTCTTTTCCTGGTTGGACTGTGATAAATCTTACTTTTTACAATCCCCCTCTGTCAGAGAGTCTGTCATTACTGGTGTGACAATGGGCTTGTTTTTCCTTACTTGTAAAATGAAAAAAAGTCGGTCTTTTTTTTTGGCTGGCTGGTACAGGGTGAAAATGCCAGTCTTGCCTATTTCACAGGATTGTTGCAAAGATAAAATAGGATACATCATATGAAAACCTTTTTAATGTTATCCTGAAGCAACAAACAATTATGATTGCTGTTTTTAGGCTTCCTGGTTTTCAGGTAGGTGACTACCCTATTTCCTTCCAACCCATACTTTGTACTTTTCAGTAACTTTGGAACCATGACAGCTAAATTTATAGTCTGGCCAGCAGAGGGCAACAGAGGCCAACTTTGCCTGCTAGATGAAGGAAAACTTCATTTTAGAGAAATGTTTCCCAAATGTGATCCCCAGGCCAGCAGCGTCAGCATCAACTGGGAACTTGTTCAGAATGAAAAATTATTGCCTTCCCCCTCCCCCAACATTGAATTGGAAACCCTGAGGGTAAGGCACAGCAATCTGAGTTTTAATAAGCTCTCCAGTTGATCTTATGCACACTAAAGTGTGAGAACCACTCATTTAGAGAGCTGGTGGAGTCCCAAATCAGTTTGTCCTGGGCCTCCTGAAGCAGAACTCGCCCCCTGGTATGGCTAAACCGAGGCTGGCTAAACCTAGGCCCTGTATTGCTACAGAGACTGCTTACTGCATGTTGGGGGAAGCAGCAGGCAAAACTTACCATCATCTCACGTGTGTAGAGTGGGTTAGAGCCCACAAGAAAGGTTTCACATCAATCACTTTGTTAATTCTTGAAAGAAACCAAAGACACAGGTATCATCATCTCCATCATACACGGGAGGAACATAAACTCGGAGAGGAAAAGGGATGTGTTTGAGGCTACACGGGGCAGGCTCAAGACTAAGATCCAATCCAGAGTTCAGAGGAGGAGGACGTTCTGCGAGCTGTTGCTAAGGAAGCTCTCAGACCCAAATCCACTCACAATGGGTACTGGGGATTGGCTGGCAGACAGCAGCACCCCCCCTCCTCTTTCTATTCTCCCCAGCCCTCTATGATATCTTTTTCTATTTTGTTCCCCTTCAACTCTGCACTCGCTGCTCCTTGGACCACCTTTCAGGAGCCAGTGTAATCGGCTTCAGATCCCGCACGCCAGTGGAAAGCCCTGTGGGCAGGCCCCACAGCTCAGATTGACCCCATTGGCTCTTTTTTTGAGGCCTTTAGCTGCTGGGAGAATACTCATATGTAGCAAAAGTACAATCACTGCCATCAGTTCCCATTGTTCCAAGTATCTTCACTGGGTCCCATTTCTTTTGACCAGTGTACAAAAAGAAAATGGTTGGGACCTTTTGGGGGAACATTTCTAGGGGGTTAGTGAGAAAGAGGGCCATCAAACACCAAACCTCTGTATTTATTTTTTTGCCACTCTCTCCCACTCCATTGACCAGTTTCCTCAGGTTACACTCAGAGGAAGCCTCTCTCCTAAAATCCCCCACATTCAATTCCCTAATCCTAGTACCTGTCCTTAAAAGCAAGTCCAGAGTTAGCTCCAGATGGCTCAATCCCACTGGCCTTAGATAATCTAATGGGAGAATTCAAGCCCTGTGGCCAATTTAGAGGAGGGGATATTTTTGGAGTCAATATATGTCCTGCTGACTGTGGAGACAAACCAGGTCCGTGACTGGGCATTGACACTGGAACTATATTCTTTTTCTTAGCATTAATCCACTCTAATGGCGTCAGTGGTGGTTTGAGCAAGGCAAGCATCCCATGAGCTCTGCCTTGTAATAAGGAGAGTTGGCTCTAGGGGGCACTGCACTTTATGACACTGTCAGGCCCATGGGCTCCCTTTGGGTCACTCATTGGCTCCATGTGCTCTATTATACGTGTGTCAGAAGAAACAGACAGAATCCTTGTTCTATCAAGCTTACAGTTCAGCAGGGAAAGCAGACATCAAAGAATAGTCATAAAATTAATTAATTACAATGGGATTATTCTGGGTAATGCGTTATATTATTCTTTGAACTTTTCTGCAACTTTTAATTTTCTCAAACTTAAACTAGTGATTCAGTTTTAAGAAGTAAAGTACAAAGTGCTATGAGTACATATAACAAGAAGAACTGACCACCCAAAAGGAGGGTGATGTGTGCTCCCCACTTTGAAGTAGGGCCCTGCATGGATTACACAGCCTTGCAGGTAGGTCTCACAATTGGGCACAGAGGGTGCAGAAAGTCCAGGTGGCATCAGAAGGGCCTCATTAGTTGACTGTAAAGTTAGCGCAGCAATCTTGGCTTATTCTGTTCTTTGAAATGACATTATGACAAGCAGACCAAATTTGTCCCCAGGGTTTGGGACTGCTACTCTGGCCTTCAGATGGCTTCATAGCTAGGGCTGGGACTGGAATGCACGTAACTTTCTTTATGGAAAGAAACAATTTTTTCAGGCTGACAAACATCCATTAATAGGGTGGGCTAGTTTCTATTGGGTGGAAGTTATCCTGGATCCCTGGCAATAATGATAGCATTCAGGATTGATTATGTTGTAAAGTAGTAACCAGGCATTTTATATGTATTTTGCTTCTTACAATGATTCTATGACTAAAATACTATCCCCCTTTAAACAACTTTTATTAATGGACATGGTAAAAATATTCAAAACGTACTAAGGGGCACATAAGGGAAAGAACTTCACCTTTTCACACCCGACCACCTATCCTGTTTCCCCTTCACAGAGGTAACCTTGGTTGTGTCTTTCTAAAGGTGGTGCGTACATACACAAGCATATATATAAAAAATATTTTTCTTGTACAAATGATAGTATAGTAGATACATTGTTCTGCACCCTTTTCTCTCAATATGTCTTAGAGATTAATACATATTAATACATATAGCTCCGGCTCATTTTTCAACAGTTGCCAGCTACAGGATATTCCACTGTGTGGCTGAACTACCATTTATTTACCCAAATTTCTATTAATGGACATTGGGCGATGTTCAACCTTTTGCTACTACAACCCATGCCACAAATGAATATCTTTGTTAATGCCTCATAGTTTTAATTTTATATAATTTTACTTAACTTAAATTGTAGAACTAAGGCAATGAAAATATTTTCCCCTTAAACATAATTTGGAATAACATTTTAGATATATTTGGGTTAAACAAATTATTAAAATTAATTTCACCTGTTCTTTTATGTAAAATTTAAAATTGCATATGTGGCTTGCATTATATTTCTGTTAATACTGCTCTAGATTGCCACTGGTATCCTGCCTGATATCCGTACTGGACTGAGCTCCCTGAGGTAGGAACCCAGTCTGTCTGGATTTCTCCTGTGTCCCCATAATCACCCAAACTGGCATGGAGTAGGTGCTTAATACATTTTCGTTGAATGGTAAAAGGAATGACCCTCGGCCCTCTCCCATGAAGAAGAAATATATGCTTCCTAGCTTCAAGTTTTACCCTGCAAGGCAGGCTGAAGTATTAAGGGCACTGACTGGGACTTCTTGACCAATGGTCCTTGCAATTCCAGTAAATTCCCTTGGTAACTCTTTAGGGAGTAAGAGTGGGCGATATCCATTTTTAAAAGAAGGGGAGGGGGGTCGGATCCTTGATTTTGCCAGCTGGTGGACTAAATTTGGACATAATTTCCCAGGCTGTAGGTACTTAACACACAGCAGTTACCCTCAGAATGTGTGATCAACGAAAGAATGGAAGGTAACAAGGCCTCCAGGGCAGCCCCCTGAATCGTGGTCCTGAGTCTCCCGTTGAAGGCAGAGCTCTGGAGCCGCCTAAGCCGGGGAGAGACGACCAGACCCGGGTCTCCTTACACTCGGGCGTCCGGAGCCCCCCGCGTGGGCGCTAGGAAAGGCGTGACCCTCTCTTTAAAAGCAAGGGCCAGGCCTGTTACCTGCGACAGGGCTCCCGACAAGGGACGGGTACAGCGTGTGTGACGGCACTCAGGAGCTCCTACGTGGAGGAACAGACCTAGACAGAGCACGTGAGAAGCTATCTTGCGGATACTGCGGAAAGACTCTGCCAAGAGAGCGCTGAGCCCCCAATCCCCCCGCCCCGCAGACTGACCGAGGAGCGGGGAGTGAGCGCGCGTGCGCACTAACGCGCGCGCGCCCAAACGAAAAGTCCTCCCCCCGGGGCCCGCGGTAATTTAGACCCGAGTCGACCGGTGAGCGCGCGTGCGCGAGCGAGCATCGACGACCTCCTTCACGGTCTACCTCTGTTGGGGGTCTAGCGCACTGCTCCGCTTTCCCCGTCTCTCCCGAGGCTCATGCCTTGCAGAGACCGGGGGAGAGGGTCCGCCGGATGACGGGAAGAGTCGGACAGGGCTGTGAGAAAAAAGGAGAAACTGCCCTAGCTGGGTGAGAAGCGCGGCTCCCCGGCTGGAGTCTGCAGAAGACACGCCTCCATCCCTTACGCCCCTCGGGGCTGCGGAAGTGCTCTGGTGACTGGAGCGGCACGAGACTACCGTTCCCAGAAGGGGTCGCGGTGCGGTGCCTACGACTCCCGGCAGCACCTGCGCGCCAGGCTCTTTTCAGTTCGCTGCCGCCTAGGACGAAACTACAGTTCCCAGGAGGCCTCGCGCGAAGCGGCTTGGAAGTGGGCAGCCTGGAAGTCACTCGGGCCACCGGAGCTGGCGGCGTCTCCGGCGAGCGGCGCGGGGCCGGACGCCGCGGTCGTGGGGCCCGCGGGGCGGGCAGCCGGGACGCTCAGGTACGTGGCTCGTAATAACTTCGTATAGCATACATTATACGAAGTTATACGACAAGTATAAAACAAATTCCCCAACACATAGGGAACCAAATCCCTATAGGGTCTATATGGGCAAATTTTATACTTTCAGCCCAGGGGGAAACAATATTCTTCCCAACATGAAGTTAGTCACACCTGTCCTCTAACATTATCCCTTGTGTCTAAAAGGCACATGTATCAGGCGGCTCTGGTACTCGCGCCCACTGGACCCGGCCGGACTCGTGCCCGCCTGGCTCAACTTTCCAGACGTACAACCCGGCTCTGTGGGGAAGAGCTTGGAGTCGGGGAGCGGTGAGTTCGCGTCCCGGCGCTGCCACTTGAGCTGCGTCTGGGGAAACCGCTCGGAACCTCAATTTCCCACTCGGTAAAACAGGGGAAAGAGTGTCTGCTTTTTGCTGGGGGTTCTGTTGAGATCCGATGAATAAAGCATTTGGCACATAGAAGGCACTTACTACGTGTTTGCGTTACTGCTGGCTCCGCGAGAAATAAGGCGAAAATATAATCGGTTGCATAGGGTGACGGTTAGTGGAGCCTATGCATGTAAAGAGTCGAGTCCATGGTTAGCACTCAGTGCAAGGTAGCTGCTGTTAACTGAGATTATTTTAAGAGCTTTGCCTTGGGAGGCAGAGAGGTTCAAATTTAGACTCTCATTTACCAGCTGTGTGACCTTGGGCAACTGACTTCATCTCTCTGTGCCTTGGTTTCCCTCTCTATAAAATGGGGATTTGAATAGCAGCCACCTTATAGAATTGTTTTGAGAGTGCAATGAGAATACTGTGTGTAAAGTGCTTAGCGCAGCAGCTGGCACATAGCGCTCAGTAAATGGTACCATTTATTCAGCGTTTTCTCGGTGGCCCAGAGACCCTCTGAGGGTGGGGATCTGGCTGTAGTCTTGGTCTGCCCTGGAGGGCCAGACTCAAATCTGGTCTAATTGACTTCCCTCCTGCAACCTCAGTATCCTCATTTATAAAATTGAATAACAGGATCACTGTCAGAGGGTTGTAAAGGTTTGATGAGAATGTATTCCTAGTCCATATCCATCTCTAAGTAGCAGCTCTTGTGTATTACAATTGTTCTTCAGTATTCTCCATCTGGCCCAGAGACTGCCTAACTGTGGGCTGTGATATGACAGCCCTGAACTCCCCCACACGTTTGCTCCCAGCCTCAGTGTCCCATCTGTAAAATGGTAGTCATAAGACTTTTTGTGCCAAGATTGTTTTGATGATTCCAGTAGATAATTCATGTTTAGCAAAGAGCCTGGCATATAGTAAGCACTTAATAAATGTATCTTGTTTTATTTATTTATTTATTTATTTATTTATTTATTTATTTATTTATTTATTTATTTATTTATTTATTTATTTATTTATTTATTTATTTATTTATTTATTTATTTATTTATTTATTTATTTATTTATTTATTTATTTATTTATTTATTTATTTATTTATTTATTTATTTATTTATTTATTTATTTATTTATTTATTTATTTATTTATTTATTTATTTATTTATTTATTTATTTATTTATTTATTTATTTATTTATTTATTTATTTATTTATTTATTTATTTATTTATTTATTTATTTATTTATTTATTTATTTATTTATTTATTTATTTATTTATTTATTTATTTATTTCTTTATTTATTATAAGCCCTTTCGGCTTCTGTTTGTACCTACAGGGTAGAGTGGAGACAAGGTTAGTGTTTCTTCCCCTCCACCTCCCTCTAAATTTTACTCACCAAAGGTTAAGTTGTGGAATATTCTGCAATATAAGGGCCTAAGAAGAGATGGCACTGCCCTGGGCACCCCCTCACCCCCACCCCCACTCCTGACAAGCCAGTATATATACTCCAGCACTTTAATTATTGTCCCAGTGCTGCCAGCTCTTGACTGTGTTTCTGATATCCCCTGATGGCTGTCTTTTGGGCACTCTAAACTCAACATCTCCAACCTGAAGTCCTCTACTTCCTTCCAGACCCAGTAGTCACCATCTTGGCATATGAGCCAACATTGACCTGGTTACCCAAGCCAGAAGCTTGGGAGTTGCTCTTCCTCAGCCTTCCCACATCCAGTTGATTGGCAAGAAGGATGGAGCTGCCATTTCATAGAAATGCCATTTCATTGGCCCATATTAGTCTCCCATCAGATGGCACTAAAAGAGGTGGCTTTTTCTGACAGGGTTGAGTTGTTTCTTTTAAGTCACCAAGGATTAATGTATGTAAACATATGTAACATATATATTAATAAGGGGCAGAGAAGACATTACAGACTTGGCTAGACTACAGTGGCCACAGGTGTGGCATGAAGGCCTGGCTTTCAGGGAACCCATTTCTTCTGGCAAAGATCAACTGAGCTGTTAATTTCTTTCTAAAAAGTTATACTGTGTCAGTGGATTAGAATATCCTGTATGGCAAGGTGGTCATCCTGGGCATTTGGAAAGGCAGCACACACACCACACACCCAAGAAGAGACTGGGAAGGCATTTATTAGATCTCTGTTTTGGTTGAGTCTGTTATCAAAAACCTGTCATTGTGATTTCATTTGATTATGGAAACCCATAATCTCAAATCAAATTTGTGATGGCCACCAAATTTACCTAAGTGTTTTTTTAATCAGAGGAAATAAAGCAGCGACTTAAAAAAAAAAATCTTGGTTGGTCTCAATTGTTAGTGACAACAGCACATGGTTTTATAGCAGTCGGCATAGAATAGTCTAAGAGTTAAATGTGAACCTGTTTTTCAGACATTGCAGTTGTTAGATGGTAAATCAGAAATGGAATTTGGAATGTTCAGTGATTGGCGCCTTTTTTTGCTGCAAAACATTTTGCTGATATATTTCAAACTTAGGTTTAATAACTTGAAAAATCTAAATTGAAGTATTTGTTTTAATAAAAGAATCGAACAGTCATTTCCTTTAACATAAAGTGTTTGTTTTTAGCTGTTAGAATGAGAGGCTATTGGACTAGTTTGCACATTTGTGTTTAAAGACTGATATTACTGTCATTTTTTAGAACTGTTCTGGTCATGGACTTTGTGTGTGTGTGTGTGTGTGTGTGTGAGAAAGAGAGAGAGAGAGAGAGAGAGAGAAGATTGAATTTGGCTTAAAAAAAGCTACGCAAGAAATACATGTTCATTGTTAACATGTCAAACACTACAGAGATGTAGAAGGAAAATAATAAGTGCCACCATCCTTTCCAAAATCCTGTGCCCCCAGAGATAACCATTTACTCAGTGAGTATCTATTAAGTATCTACTGTCAGGTTTTGTAGATATCATAGTGAACAAAATGGATATGCTCTCTGCCCTTGGTGATTTGGGTAGATAGTCTCACATGTTTTCCTATATATATATTGATCTATACAGTACATGCATATATGGATTGTTTTCTTCCTCCTCGCTCATGACTCCCCCAAAAAAGGAGGGGTAGAGATCAAGATACACATATTTGTAACCTCGTTTTTGCACTTGATGATTGGGCATATCCCTCCAAGTCATTACATGTAGGTCTGACTCATTCTTGTTTAACAGCTGTACCCATATTCTTCAGTATGGAGAGACCTTGCTTTATTCCACCATTCCCTGTTGCTGGACATTTAGGTTGTTTGTGAGATTTCTTTTACCTCAGCAAACACACATAAGCATTCTTGAACATAGGCAGTATGGCATAGACGCTAGAAACACAAACTCTGGGGCAACTTGGCCTGGGTTCAGATCCTGACTGTGCCCTGTACTAATTGTGATACCTTGGACAAGTCATTTGTCCTTCTGGGCCTCAGTTTTCTGATATGAAAATGGGAATGATACCAGTATCTTCTTCATAGGGTGATTGAAAGAGGGTTCAATGAGATCATCTATGTCAAACTTTTAGGGCAGGGCCTGGTACAGCTGTTGCGCTTGATCTTTGAAACCGAAGGTAACTCAAAGCCCTGTGAGGCAGGACTCACAGGAAGAGCGAATTCAGTCATTGGATATGCCAGGTAGAAATAAGAACAAGTTATAAAGCAGGGATCCAGCTTGGAGATGTTGGGGGTCTAGGTTGAGGGACTCAGCTGCCCTGGAATAAAGGGAGGAGATTTGCTTGGCCTGACCACAGTGAGTGGTGGTGGTGGGGGGCTGGTGGTGGAGCATCGGTGGGAAATATCACTCTTCACATTTGCAAGAAGTGTGTTGTGTGAAGGTTGGAAGGTGGCTTAGGTGGCAGACAGGTCTGGGCTTAAGTTCCAGTACAGCCACTAACTTATAAGGTGTGCACTGAGCTATTTTCTTCATTGGCAAAATAGGTATGATAGTGGTCTTTACATCAGTGGTTGTTGGAGACTGAATGAAATGACCACAAGACTTTCAGCACATTAGACTGTCATTAGCCCTGAGTAAGTAGCTGGTGGAGACACACGATACACAAGATAATTAAAAAAAAAAAATCTTGGTCCTTCCACTTTCAGCTGGTTTTAAGTATAATGGAGTAAATAACAGGATGAAGGGATAGAAAGCGGTTAGTGGGGCAGGATGGTGTTGGGAAAAGGTGGTTACTTTAGCTCAGATGGTGAGGGATTCTCACTGAGGGGAGTCCTGTGAGCTGAGACCTGAATAAGCAAGCAACACCAGTTGTGCCAAGAGTTGGAGGAAGAACATTCCAGGCAGAGTGAACAGCAAGTGTAAAGGCCCAGAGGTGGGAATGAGTTTGCTACAAAAACAATACTGTTTTCTATTATGATTAGAGAAGGGTGAATTCCTATTTTTCAAGTTCACAGTATAATTTTTGTAAAATAGTGATAATGATAGCAACTAACATTTACCTAGCACTTGCTGTGTGGTAGATGCTCTTCTAAGCATTTCATACATTCCCTCAATTAATCCTGACTATAGTCCAATGAAGTAGTTAATTTTATTGAGCTCATTTTACAGAAGAGGAAACTGACTCCAGGCTCTGTGCTCTTTACTCGCATGCCAAACTCTC